CGTGCACTATACTGCCCATCCTTACGGTTTCTTGGTTTAGCTAAGGAAGAGACAGTGTCAGTATAGTGCGATTTACGTTTAGCCACCTCGAAACAAATGCAGGGCGCAACAGTGTAGAAGGATAAATGTATCTTGATGAGGCTCTACACCAAGTATATGCCTAGAACGATTCAAAGAACTGACCGGGTCATATCTTCYCTTCTTACATCTRTTTYCATCAGTCCCACGACCACAATTTGAACTCAGTTCCTCTTAAAATGTAGCAGTTAGATTTAATGATGCAAAGAAATTAAGAAATAAAGTGAAGAAGAGTGATGCATAGTAGATCAGCTTTCATTAAATAAGAAGCAAAGATAGATATTTTGGGGCGGGTCAGAAATAAAAAGGAGGGGTAACACCTTCTTTGTCGCGCCCTTGATTCGACTCGAGCTAAAATGAAAACACTATGTTTACGATTATTTACCTTTAAAAAATTCACATGATAACTCAACAATGTCAAGTCGCCCAATAATATTGCATTCTGTTAGGTCATGAGTATCAGAAACATTTTTTTATGCCTTTTAGGAAAAATTACTCTCAAATGTTAGCATTTGCCACCCACTTAGGCCGTTGATAAATCCGTTATTATTTTGACCTAACATGCTTCCTCTTACTTTCTGCCCTAATAATCCACTGACAAGCCGTTTGCCCTTTGGTTATTTTGGCAGAGGGCTGATTAACCGAAGCTAGCCAAAGCCAAAATAAACTTTTACGGAACTTGAACTCGAGTCAAGGATTATTTTCTTTAGCTTGWTTTTACACGAATCGTCRAGTGTTTGTTCCTATCGTACTTGARTTATGTAATGGACTATGTACTCTTACGGTGAGATGCTTTTGAAGTTTTAGGGTTTTAATCTGACTTGTTAGTTTTGATAGTAACATCAGTAAATGCAGTGCMGCACATCCAGAACTGTTATAAAAGTTTGCCAAAAGATAAAAGTTTGCCAAAAAAGAAAGAATTCTTTCTATTCTTTATCTCTTTTTAAGAATATAATCTGATTGCATTTTCTTTTTATTATTCACACACCTAGTTGCAAAAATGTGGTACAGAAAAATAGAATATTTGGAAAAGGAAGTTACAGTCAACTCTCGCTATTACGGACACCCTCGGGACCGTAATTTAGTGTCCGCAGTAACGAGAGTCATTACTAATAAGGCATTTCTTTGTATTTTTCGCCGGGGATTCAGTATTTCGTGTCCGTAATATCAAGGTGTCCGTAATAGCGGGGTGTTCGTAAGGCGAGAGTTGACCGTATGTATATATGTAAAAGAAGATCCCTTATACCGAATGCTTTGAACTATTCCTTTACACTATGTTCTTAATTTTCTCTATGATGATGTTTTCGCGATTAGGCATGTACATTTGAGTACAAACTGGCAGATTTCTAAGAATTCTCTAAATCGGTGTTAACTTGGGCCTGCAAACTTGGCGAAGATAAAACTTTCCATGGATAACATTTGTATATTAAAAAGCGCGCATGGGTAGAACATGCAGTCGGTATGTTCGTCCTCAATTCAAGATTTCCCCCCCAAAAAAATCAAAATCGCAGTACGGAGAGGTGATAAAAAGGTCGTACCGCTTTTAAAGCTTTAATACCAATCTCAACCACACTTTATACTTCTCTTGAAGATGACTCCCCTCCCCTTCTCTAGAGAAAGCTTTAATGCACTTTAAATATTAAATCCTTTAACGGGAATAGCAGTGTGTCTCTTTGTTGCCGCGATTTCTTTCCTGTCATGCTTCCAGAGCACGTGTTGCAGCAGACAGCCTTGTCGTTTGTGTTGTATTCTATGGTCTTTTAGCACATGATCTATGCGGCACCTCCCCTCCCAATCCCCTTTGAAAGTGTAGTCAGCAAGCCCAAKGCTGTAATCGGATGATTCTATTAAACTGTTAATTCTACAGTGTATAGCGGGTGTGAGTGGTTGTTACGGAAATACAGCGTACCGGTTTAGTAGCCAATCTCAACCTGTCTTATTTCAACAACCGATTTATCATCCGGTTGCCGCCCTTTGAAGAACTTAAGCAATGATTGTAGAATTTAAGGTATTATCTCGCACCTTGCGGTGATCAACCGGGATGTTCAACAMAACGGAACCAATTTGGGATTTCTTTTAACATGCTAAACCCCAGAACGCTGTTATTTGGAGCAAAAATGTCACCATACCAAGGTGGAGCTTTTTATCATCCTTCGTGGAAGAATCCTTGGTATTCCTGCTGTGTGTAATCTTGTTTGTTTAAGCATTCGGTTGTTAGCGCACAAATGTAAACTTACTCTGTGCTTCTTAAAACGCACTTATAAAATCCGCAAGATGTCGCCATTTTATTGTTTATCGAGGACAGGAATGCAAGCGTATCAGTGTTGTTCATCGGCTATCGGATTATCTTTGCAAGATCTTTACGTGTCCTAACGAGGCATTAAAAAACATTGCTTTGATCTGTGCTAACCTGCATCGYAATGATAAATGAATGGTGAATAAAACAGAATTAGTCAATGATTTTAAAAGAAGTACAGCTTTAGTAAACGTTTCTAACTAAGAAGAAGATGGTGCCACTTGGTCCACTAGTGATTAGYTAAGTAAAAGAGACTGATCCAGTGATAATTATAATTAAAGTCGCTGATCAGYCTCTTCACGTGTTCGTGTCGAGTGCTAAAACTATTTYATAATTCTTTCTCTGYCTTTTKCCAAATAACTGRGCTWCRAGGCAWAGGAACAAAGATGTCATCTCTTTGGCAACTTCTCAGTCACGTCATATTAACTCTTTCTGGTAGCACGCTGAATTCTTCTTTGGTGGGATGGCATAAGGAAAGGGGGAGGGACAGAAACTTCTTATCTCATTTGGTACGGCAATAAGTGAAACAAGACTTGATGATAATAAATATGCAGCTTTGATGCTCAGCTGGTGACAGTTGTCAAGGTGCAAAAGATGAAGAAATTAGTTGAGCTGGAGGACAAACCCTCTAGGCATTGCTGATATGAAAAGTTTTCTTTTTCTATAGCCATACAGCTTGTTTGTTCTTACTTCTGCTTGTATTTGCTTTTATCAAAGTTACTTTATTTAGTATAGTCATCTCAGTCATCTTATGCATTTTTCATTTTCAAACAACAATTGACAGACTGCCATGTTTGCCGTGGGCGCACTCCAAGCTAAACACTTCACATCACGCAAACTAAAATGACTGAAAGTAAAAAAAATACTGAAAGTAACTCTAAGGAAGAGCATCGTTTTCAAGGGCAAAAGACGTACTTCAAGGTTTAGGTTTAAATGAGCAAATTAGTTAAAATCTTCTAGGCAGACGTTATAATGCAAGATTCCCTATTAATGCAGACTGGTTGAAGTTTCATTTAGTTCCTGTAACGAAAGCCAATTTAAATTACTGTCATCGAGAGCCTGGACAAATGATGCTTCGAGAAAACAGTTCCGAACTTTATTCAGTTTATTGTTTACATTAATAATTTRCAAAAGTCAGTCTATCAGTGAACACTTTGTCAACCTTTTCTTCTTCAGCTTGCGCGGTTCGGCAGAAGCTGCGAGAATCGTTTGGCTCTGTTCGTTGTCATTACATTGACCAACACTAATACATTACCACAATGATTAAGCCTTCTGTCAGGTAATAAATAACGGCGGATTTCTTTACGACGAAGTGACAATGCAAATAAAACTATTCAAGTTTTCCATCAGCTGCAAGAAAGGTGCTTTCAGACGTTKTGTTGCGGAGCAAAACGTTTGCGCGGTAACACCCAGTATACCAATCCACCTGGCTAAGCGGCACTGCTAATAACCAACGGCTGAACTGTATACTTATCAAATCAAACAGAGACAGCTAGTGATAGTTGCTGGATAGCTCACTTCATTATTACGACTCATTCTCTTTTCTTGTTGAATTATCATTAGTGTAATTCAGTGATGTTGATTTATATTTTGTACTCATGTGTCTGAAAAGTRAAAATTACACAAATATGTTCTTTTGAAGATTAAGTCTTCTTTTTATATTGGTTCATAATTCAGTTTTATTAACCATTTTTTCATAGTTCTAAAAAGTGTACGAAGATGTGCAAGCATATTGATATCCACGTAAGTTTCASATTTTTCAGTGGTACAAGTTGCCATTCGCACTTAGCATTTTGTGTGTTCATTATAATAAAAGCAGTACAATATTTAGAAAAATAGGACAATCGAGTGAAAAAAGGGAAATGATTGCTGAATTTCCCCATTTTAATGATTTCTTATTAAGTTTTTTTTATTGTACTCGAAGTTTCTTTCCAGCTRAAGTTAGAGCTCTAACACTTGTCGCCCTCCAGATAAAAGTGTAGTTTTAATCGTTTCTTATTAGTACAGATTTTTCTCATKAAGCATTGATTGAGCTTTATTAAACTTGAATAGTTTAAAGACCAGTTTATTGGCTCGGCTCCTTCAGTTGAAGATTGTTTTCCAACAATCTTCAACTTGAGTAGCCAACAATAAAGACCTCCTCTAAAAAGTTAACATCATTTCCATAAAGCCTTAATTAGAAGCATTTAAAATGACAATTGGTTAACAAAAAACCTTCTCGAGTCTTTTCAATYAATTATTGACCAACGCTTGTAGGGCTGACACATTATTGTCTACCCAATGTTTACAAAAATCTTAGTCTTCCATCGCAAATTTCAATGGTAAAAATGACCTCCTCAAAGCCACGTGCATTTACCTAGTAACAAAGCATCCATAGGCTATATGGATCRCAAGTCTMTGGAGATTGGCATACAAAATCCACTAGTTTTGTCCAAATATTTGCCCAAGGTGTTATGATCCCTGTGTGGCAAGAAAAGGAAACAGCGCCGATCTAATTAAACTAGATGTAATTGACAGAATGGTGAGGTTTCTTTTTGGAGTTTATTCCAAGTGTAATTAGCTGAAGAATAGCATCTTTTGAGAGGAGGCGAACGGGATATGGGCGGCATTTAAAATCAAAACAGGATCACTTTCAATTCTGTTTTATTGTTCACTGTACTTCTTTACAATTCTTTGTACCTTTAGTTTTTCAAAAACTTAAAATATGTTGTAATTATAATCGAGAAATTTTATTTGATTCTAATTCTATTCGGCTTTTTTCAATGTTTTACGATTTCACCACCAGAAAAAATCTTTCTGAAATAAAAAGTATCCGGTGGAACACTGCAAACTTTACAAAAAAACGCGTTAGCTATGTACGAAAAATGGACGGCTGAAACGAACTGGAAAGAGTTAGAAAGAAGTTTAAAAAATAACACCAAGAACTTCAARAAATAACACCAAAATATCCTTCACACTGAAAGTTATCCAAGATTCCACAAACCTTAATATATGAACTCTTTTATATTATATACAAACAAAGGACTTTCAATCCTTCAATTTAAGAATAAATAACCAAAACTCAGGAAATATCTCTARCACTCTTTAAACTATAAGTTGAATCTATTTGGGCGTCAAGTACCTCTATGTATTGTCATGCGTTAATGCCTGACTGGTTCGAGTGGTGGTCGACAAGCAAAGCATCTCATCACTATTTAAGCTGGAAATACAGTCTTTAGTGAATTCATGGTCTGTGTAAGGTGTAACTGGAGAATCGTTTAAATTCTCGTTAAACACTTCATTCGCAGCCAATGGCTCTTGAGGTGAATCMGTGTCTTTCTTTTTGGAGTCGAGTGCTTCTCGTTTTTGCTTTCGAAATTTCGCTCTTCTGTTTTTAAACCAGACCTTTAAATACAAAACAAAGATATTTACAACTTTGTTAATAACTTCAAATAAGTTGCATATATGTTAATTATAGCATAAAAATGGTTATGATTTGAGGGGAAGAAGATTGCTATGTGGTGAAGCCACTGTAATGTATAAAAACCAATGAATTACTTTGCAATACGGGAAGAGTTACTGTACTCAATGTAACTTGTTGGTAAGTTCACTAGATGTTCTTGTGGTATACTTATGACCCAAGGTATTTCATATTTTTATATATTTTAATCAGTTTTTTTTATCTAATTGTCTATGATTTATTTGGTTGGACTTCTATCGTCAGGTTTCTTATAAAGTCCAACAACACTCCTTCATATTTTTGTTGTTAGTTACGCGCGCTTATAAACGAAAAWTTTCACAAGCACTGTGTAGAAAGTCTTAACCTTCGACACCACTAAACAGGACGAAATACCTGACGATGTATACAAAGGGTTTGAATCACCCAATTTAGGTTAAAGGTTTATTTTTATTCGCGTCTATATGGCGTATTTTGCTATATRCCAAGCCGCCAAGAATGTATTTAAAGTCTGCGTGTGGACGCAACTGTGAGGTTGAGGGTTCAGCAAATTTTTAAAAGGGTCATGCAAAGTCATTTGTGGAAAAAWTGTATTGAAACATTTTAAAAAGTCGTAAATTATGAAAGAGCAGATAGTTACCTATTCTGAACAAAGTAAATATCAAGAAAAGTATAGACTTTTTCGGGGTGTACTGGATTGTCTGAAATAAACTTCGTATGGAGCCAGAGCYTACACACTAACCACACTACATATTTACCGATTTCATCTTATAAGTCACAGGAAGTATCTACAGTTTTAAGCAGATTTTACTTCAAGAAAACCAGAGGAAATTTGAAAACATTGGATACAAAACTACTTCAGTYAATATAGATAAATTCCAATGAAAGTCTAAAATGTTTTGGTAACGGCGTTTGTGATAATAAGACTGAGAAAGAAGCAAACCTGAAGAACGTCAATAAAGAGTATGGAAAGTTTAAAAGATACAAAATAAAATCTACTAAATGATTAGAAAGTTTACATTTTAGTGTATCTTTATTTGTAGACAGTAATAACATGAGAAGGAGGTAAATTTGTTTGTCATTTTCAATGTAAGATGACAATTTTGAACTGTTGATAAGGGAAACCTCAGTTAGACATGTTTACTCTTAGTATAGACTTGCGAATCAATAAATTTAAGGTAAATGCGTGCAAGGAAGGAGGTAGAAGACTGCAAGAAAGGCTAATCATCTAATTACAAGAGTCTCAGTAGTTTTTAGGAACAACGAATTGATTCATGGCAAGTAATTGCTCGACTGTTCGAGGTAATTTCCTCTCTGATCGACTGGAAACAGTACTTCACCGTTAGTTGCCTTTGCACATAGTTTTCGAAGGGATTGACAACTATAATAAGTAAAAACAATTGATACTGATTTATGAATGATTCTTATGTAAAAGTATTAGATAAATAAAAAACGAAGAAAGAAGCATATTTGCTGCATGAAATCTGCGCACAACACCTCTCGATTATCATGAGTCAGTATTACCTAACTAGTTCTTAATTCTAAAAAAAGAAACGCTTTAAATTGTCAAATATTTAAACCAATTAAAACAAGTATATACCGATAATGTTTACTCACTATTGGATTTTAAAATAGCCATCATTTTAAATGATACCAAAATATGATTTCTCAGCAGTAACATCAATGGTCAGTTTCTTCAACTGAGCAGATTGACGAAGCAGACTACATGTGATAACTTTAAAATAGTCACAGGCTAACAGTTAAACTTCAGCTATATATTCAAAAACTTACTTTGAACATTTCGAGTATCTGAGGGATTTCAGATCAGTTCTAAGTTAAACTTGTTTCTAAATGGTAAGCAGCGAGGAGCGATTAAATGAACAGTGACTACCAAAAGAACTAAGGAACAGTGTTAAACAACAAAGTCCTTGCACTTATATTTCAAATACAGACAGAGAACAAGAATTACCGTCATTTTCAACAATTACAATTACCTAGTAAAAGCTAGAAATGTTTTGGTTCTACATTCGTTGCAGTGAAGACGAAGAATGTGAATGAGGACTTGGAAGATTTAGATATAAAGACTGCAATGATTTTTCAACCAATAAAAACCTTATTTTTATTCCCGATAAAAGTTATACCATCTCGATCCCTACCTATACAAAATTTACAAGTTGTTCAAAATCCTTATCATGATATTTATGAAAGGAGAATTATACGATTTAAAAAGTGAACGAGCCGAAATGTTCAAATCTCATTGAGTATATTAAGGTAAATTGAACAAATTTAGATAGTGAGTTCGTTTTCACTGTGTTTATGTGTCTACTTGTCAATCTAGGTTTTAAATCTCAGAATATAGAAACAAAACAAAGTATCGGTAAATAAAGTAATTTGGATAACGCAATGATAACGCATAGAAATAAACGAAAAAGCATCGTACTTGAACTTTAAGATAGACTATATCTAACCCTGAGTAAAAACCACGCGATTATATATGAAAACAAAAGCGTTAATTCTATTAGAACCTCTCAAAAACATACGACTTTAAATTGAGAAACAAAAGCCAAGACTCTCAATGGTYAAAAACCGCTGTCGAAGAGGAATTCAATCAATTTTGGTCAATGTAAGATTGTTTTGAACAGCTTAGAATACATGTTTTGAAACGCGAGCACGGCAAGTCAGCAGCAAGCAAGCAACTGCGCCATTGTTTAGTTAAGCTGTCCTATGGTTTTTAAATTGAGACCAACTCATTAAATTCTACATATAAAACGTTTATACTTATTACAACAATAGATATTCAATGGGTTTGGATGAATAGGGAAAATAAAAATCAAGAAAGAGTTTCAGTGAGGAGGTCTTCGCTGGTGACTCATTTATGGTGTGTACAAGGCTTTTTGAACGAACTCGCCGTCAATAAACATTTAATGAGATGAATGCTAATCCCTTGTGGTCTAATGCTTCGAAATTAATAACTTTGAATTAAAAAAACACAGATTTTTTGAAAGAATTTTGATTCAAAATGAGAGCTAACTTAGCCATGACCACATGCAATCGATGATGGAACGAAGGATGTCATGAGSTCTGAGATTTGAAAGCAAAATCTTTTTTCTTAGTTAACGAATATAATAAGCATTGGAAAACAGTTTGATTATTTTTACGTGAAAAGAGGTACAAATTCAAGTTGAAAAAYTGAATATTTTGGTCAATAGAGGGTAACATCAGCGAGATAACAAAGTCATTGTGTACTGCCCCACCCAGACTCAGTGTCGTCGACTTGTACACCTCATATGTTGCATGATCAACAAGCCTTTTTTGCTCTTATTTCCCTAGTTCCACGCAAACAAGGAAAGTAATCTAGTTCGAATGGAAGCTATAGGTAGGACCCTTGCTGMTTTGTTTTGTTAAGAAGACCAGAAATAATAGAAACAAACCGGGAAAGGATTCTATGTAGCAGTTAGCTCTCCGCATGGTGCAATCACAGTTCTCGAATTAACGTCGCATCGACAGGACATGTTAAAAAACAAATTCTTTCTACACGTCTGGGGTTAACTAGCACAGAACCATTTCTAGCACACACGCACTATCTTCACATCAAAACAAGGTTGAAAACTAAGCAGAACTAATCGAATCATTTCGAGTTTGAAAACGATAATAAACTTTTGTATGCAGHACGAATCAATTTTGTGTTTTGCGTTCGCACAAAGGTGTTAGGTAGACTGGAGACATAAGTCTGGGTTTTAACAAGAAGTATTAGTATAGGTTTTTCTTCCAAGTCAAACAKTCTCGGTTCTGAACAATAAATCATACCTTGAACATGTTTACCGCCGCCAAAGACATTTCCTCCAAGACATGTACTTGTTTCCGCGCAAAATTCCAAAGTCATAACTTTGTGTTWTGGTCTTTCTAAACTCCATGAAATTTCTAATGAAAACGAATTGGATCGACACAACGCACAAGCGAAGTAACTAACTAAGACTACACAAGAAGGCGTAGTGCGGGCTTAAGGTCCCCCGTCAGAGGCATGGCAGTCAGTGAAATCATTAATCTTAGTTTTGACAGCTATGCTATCGTGTTTACTTCACAATTAGCTGTGTGGTGCTCTCTGTGAACTATGTCAGGGTGAATCAAAAAGGACCGTTCATTGATGGCAATCTYAACGCGCATTTCGCTTTGTAATAAATTCGTTTGTCATTTCTGCTCAATAAGGTGCTTGCTTCAAATAACCCCCAAATAACTTCACTCAACTGGTGAACATGCGACGCCAATGGAATGTTCATAACAAAAAACTCCTTCACCTTTGCTCGCAAAAGTCACCGATTTTCAACTCGAGGTTTTGGGGGCTTATTCTTGTAAATCTCAGTAGGGTTTCTCAGTCKCACAGGCGTCGAATATCGCTGTTAATTTACACCCCATTTCCGTGTTCGCACTGGAATAATTCAATAAACTCGCAATAGGGACACACCATCGTTGAGTAACATCATGAATTGGTGCGTTCGCTTAACCTTGTGTTTTAGAGGTTAAAAAAGTACTTCTGTAATMGCTCATACAGGAAAGAAGGTCATGGAACCCCTCGTAAAAGCAAATGTTTGGATACCTTTACTATCCACTGGACGAGCTGACAAGAATACACACATAACATACGGCGTTTGATTTATTAAATGCGATTATCTAGAAACTTCTTGAGAAGTTSGCARTGCATATGAAGCAGTGCTAGGCTCACCTCTACTCTTTCTTCTTTTAAGTCAACTTTCATTGCCAGTTCTTCCCTAAGTAGCACATCGGGATAGTGTGTTTTCTCGAACGTAGATTCCAACAGCGCGAGTTGTTCCTCAGTGAAAATAGTTCTGTGGCGTCGTTTTCGCTTGGGATGATTTCGGAGCACATCGGCATAACGAGGGAACCCAACTACGAACCAAGTGACAAAATCAGTATTAAACACAACATTTAAAGTATACAAAGAGCTCAAGCGTCAACAATACCTTTTGTAGAGAAAAGTTAGCGATACTATTTAGCTACCTCACGACCGTTCCTTCGCATTTAAATTATTTATGATCAACAATCAAAGTTTTAGTTACAAATCTCTTGAGAAGTTTAAGACTCACGTCATGTCAAAAGCTGTTGAGTTGTGAGAAAAGTGCGATGGTAAAGGTGATCCACCTCGGCAGTTGTGCGCGGACCAATACACTCTATTACAAGAGTATCTCTTGCAGATTTTGGGATTATATCACACATGTATCCAATGAGAATCATTACCTAAATATCCAGGTGGAGTTGGCATGATAGGGTACGGGTGAGAGTACATGCAGGGGCCACATTGCGGTCGATACGTCGGACGAGACAATATGCTGTCGATGGTAAAGGAGGACGTAAACGAAGACATGATTTGTAAATCAATCCTCCTACACCCCTGGCCTGGACAGAGAATAATATCACAGCGTCAAGAATGCGTATAGAGATTCCACTTGGGGAGTCCAAATGTCGAGCACGATGTTTACGGGATCACTGGTTCACAATGACTGACTAATAGCCTCAATACGCGGCCCGTTTTGTAACAAGAAAGGGATTTACGAATTACTTCCAGTTTTAATTCGTTACGTCACCGCGAGGTGTTTTGTTTGCGAGCGCGGGCCACACTTCAGCCAGACAATCCGGGATTGATCGACCAATCACCACCAAGAACTCTAATTAAGATTTGATTAAAATAACACGAACTACGTCGCCAATTATATCGGGGATTGTCTCTRCGCACAGTATCTATGTATCTCATGTCATTGTGTCTTCAGTAATACGAGAGTGTCATATATACGGCTCATGAGCTGCCACCCGGATGGGTCTTGACAATGATGGAAACCTAGGCTCCGCCCAACCAATTAAGAAGTTTATGGGGAGACAGATTCAGTTCTGTTAATCCCTTTTGAATCTCGACATCCCGCTTTTCTTATTCCTGGTAATAAAACGAATGAAAACAATTTCAGTGGATCTTTTTTATCTGATTTTATCATGATGCTTCTAGATATCCGATAATCCGAGTTCTTTTTTTTTGGAAAGTTTATATTCACAGCATTGGGTGAATTCTAAATCAATGTTATTCAATCGCATTGATTGGTCCGGAGATAGCTCGGTTACATACCGCGGAAAAGCTTAGACGAGCCGAGTCACGTCGAGATAAAACCCTTCTTTAGACCATCTGTTTGCTCAATGACTTAAACAATCGTTTCACAATCTATGAACCACACAAGCATACCTTCTAAATCCCTAATAACTAATAGCTCAAGACAGAACAATCTATCGTGTTTGAACGACCTAAAAACTCAACGCAAAAACCAAACAACGCGCGCAATATCAGTTATCTTACGCATTGACATCTTGCGCCATATAGATGATACGTAGGCTTAATCTGTAAAAACGCTAGCGAGAAGAGAATTGTTCCTAATTAGTTTAATTGGTTAAAAATCGCACTCGTGTTTGTTACGTCTCCGGAGCTAAAGACTTAAGAGCTTGTATAGACCAGTTAACCACTGAAATACCGCAAGTATTAAAGTCTTAAAGCGTTTATGAATACTTTGATTACTCTTCATTAGAGTTTGCAAAGCTTCGTCTAATTCATCAAAAAAAAACGCCTCTATTATAAACTGGGGATTGAAGTTCTTCGTGGGGGGACTTTGAGAGGGTAGTAGGATTAACACTCGCTTTTGTTTTTCGCTCGTTTTGCCACCTTCTTTGATCGTCTATTTGACAAAGATAATTTACCCAAATTTAATAAACATAGCCTTGTTGCCTTTTTATTGTTCTCTGTGATTGTGTAATCTCCGCTTTATCTTAATCTTCAAGCAAATCCCTTCATCTTTTTCGAACCAAAATACCGTAATTATACCGTAGATTTTTTTTAATGAAAGTTTCTTGAGGTTATCATAAGATGGTTTTAACGAATGATTTCATGACAAGCTAAGCAACTCGCACCTTTCTTGTTGACTTTAAATAAGGTGTTTGGTGTTTGTGCGGCTCTAAATCCATTCTCAACACCTTTCGATTTTCGACCCCCTAGACTTTTGTCAAATCAACACGATGTACAAACAACTTAATGTATTAAAGATATTGCTTTAAGAATAGATTTTGTTGTTCTATATCAAGCACTAGTTAAAATCAAATTCATCACCCTAAAATGATGGATTTTCCATAAAAAAGCAAACTTAATTGAATAGAAGGTGAGAAGTTTCGTGAGAATTGATGGGCTTAGTTTAGCATTGTATAGGTACTGGAATGGAAATCAGCGAAACCAAGGAATTCACATATATGAATTTGAAATGACTTAAGAATTTAAGCTAAAAAGTACTCAATTTTGATCACTTTTAAGACAATAACTGATTTTCAATAATTATATAATAGTTTGACGAGTCCAGTAAGTGTTCTGATGTTTCATTGTATTGCTGCAGCTATGTACTGTTTGTCATGTGATGTTCGGCAAAGACCATGATTTTGCTGCTCAAAAGGCTGCTTCATCTAGAACCTTTCTCCACCTGTCTTCACAAGCCTTAAACAAGAAGAACCACTCGGGCTATTGAGAAACCCTTTGTTCAGAGCCGACTCAATTTCGGACTTAGTATAATCATTTAACAGTTATCCTTGGTTGCGAGGTGACCTAACAAAGAACCCTCAAGCACACTGTCACGTTATTTAGCTAATTTAATGATCATCAAAAATCACAAAATACACAGCTAATTCAGCTATTGACAACTGTGATGTTAGAGATATGATTGTATCATTTGACTTTGATTTGACATAAATATATGTTTGTAATGCTGTGGTCACAAAGTGCCCAAACATTTTCATATATAGCCTCTGTAATACTTATAGAAAGTTCGTTTATGTTTCTACTCGGGCATATAACGTTTAACGAAGTACTTGAGTATCATACTCGAGTTTCAAGAGTTCTTTTTCATACTACTGAAGTGGTCAAAGCGCGTCTACCTGCACGTGATATTATCTCRGGTACCAACCGTTTTGAATGCATTTACTCTTGAATTTAGTCTGCCTTCGGGCATTTAAACGCTTTACAAATTGGTATTTTGAAAACAAGCGCTTTGAACTATTGTATTTTTAAGAGGTGAAATTTCAAAATGACCAGCTAGGAATACTGAATGGGTGTTTTTGTAATCASTGTCCCTCCCATTTTAAACACTGAGCTCTGTATCCTTAGTTTATCAACTGGAACCAAAACAATGAATGGAGTGCTTCCTTGATTGTGAAGGGCTATTTACTGTTCGCGTGTCAGCCAAAATTCTTGATGGATCCCTAATTGTTCATGGCTCTTTTGTTATTTGTAAACTATCTAATTCATCCGTTTTGTCAGTATTTTTTAAGAACCAGCTCTATAAATCAAATGAAAACATAAGCGCTTTAAAGATAGTTGTTTTGACTTTTCAAAGTATTTTCGTTGTCTTTGCACGCAGCAGTACGCGAGGAAAGGAGTCCTAAAACAGTTTTTTATACGGTTTGGAACGCGGCTGGAGACACTTTCGACTTGACTCYATTGTGTRGAAAACGCAAGACTTACACAAAACAAAACGCGGCAAATTTGCTTGCTAGGTTAACGTATTGAGAAATTCCTTTTAGACTTGGTTCCGTATCCTCAGGGCTCCAAAAACCATATGTTGTACTTGGATTGTTTGATGTTACCTCCGATAATATGCTTGGCCAAAAACAACTCRCAGTTTTATTTGGTAAAGAGATGTTATACTTGTAGAAAATATCTTAAATATAAACACTGAGAGAGACAAGAGAACAAAATGATATCAAAAAAGTAAAGCTTGCTTTATTTTATTCATTGAGTTAATTCATGCCGACTTTAATAGTTATAACTTGATTGTACAAATGTATAAAAATGTACGTCTTTGCTCGAAGCAACAACTGACAGATACACACAACACACTCTTGATTACATCCAGAATGAATTTACAATAACTTCATTTTTATGATATACAAGATGCTACAACATATGCAATATTATGTAGTTTGTTAGTTAAAGATTTTGTACTCAAAAAATATGTTATACTGTAACTGATATAAATATGTAGGAACATGTATGTGTGATATCTGAACTTTTTATGGAAGCAATTTCTATTTTCCTAATCCTAAACTTCATCGTCTTATTCCATTGATTGAAACTGTTATTCTTGTAAGAAATCAAGTTAAAAACATTACTTATACTTTTCAAAACACTTAACAAACAAACTGCACTATTCTACTATATATTAGAGAACTTGTTTGTTTTGAATTCGCTCTTACTTGTAGGAACAAACTTTAGCTGCTCCTCTCCTATCGCGAGTGAAGACACTGCGATTCAACATCAAGTATCTGTTCTTGGATCACAGACATCAGTAGGAAAACATCCCCCAATTGATCTCCCAGGGGGAAAAATCTCGTTTTCAAAGGTCGTTTAATACCATGTCTTGGCAAATTATGTTGTCATTTATAACACTATCAGACCGAGAACAGGTTTATAACGGACTTGGTGACAAATTGTGCCAAACATATGTTGCGCATACTTCTTTTTTGCATCTTGGCTTATAAAACATATCGAATTGAAATAAGGCTTTGATAAATGACTTTTGCCGACTTTTGTGGCGTTTTTATTGCCTTTGTGCTATACAATATCACTAACTCGTGTGAGTAAATTACGTCTGACAAAAGAATTTACAATGGGAGAAGAAGATAGCTGCTTTTAAAACCCCTTTTGGTCTGTGACATTTAGTCAGAGACTGGAAACCATCTGTTAAAAAATATTCCAAAGAACTTTTTCTTAAAAGAACACAATGCATTCTTCTATCAGACAGTGAATATAGGAGATTATTTAGAGTAAAGAAGTGAGCTTTTCACAGACATTTATTCTAAATAAAAAGACAAAAACTCGAGAGAATTGTGTAATCATCATTGTGAACTTGGGGTAGAGACGTGATGACATTCATCAAAAGCTTATCTTTTAAATAGAAAATCCATTCGAGCTAATAAACTGCCTTTTATCTTGTTGATTATTTGGGCTGATTTTCGGGTTTATCGCTTTAAAGGCGATTCAGGTTAGAATTCCAATCGATGAAATCAAAAAGGCAACAAATTTCATGCATAGTCACTTTCGTTCGGAATATCCATTTTAGAGCTATATGAATCTTGTATAATATTTTTTTTCAAAAAGTCAAAAGCCTGTTGATTGCTCAGGTCAATTACGAAACGTCTAATGGGTGCTTTGACGCATTAATATGCCGGCGTCTCCATAAGCTAAAATACGCCATCGCATATCACTTTCTATATCACATATTCCTGCGCTCTGATTGGTCCATAAGCGTGCATTATTACGCGGGCAGATCATTCTCTCTAGAAGAAATGTAGCTTAAGTAAAAAACGGTAAATTGTTGTACATTGTCGGCGAAATAAAGTAATTATAGATTTTTGGGGTCGGTGAAAAAGATCAAAAATTGCTCTTGTGTGCTTTGCTTTGAAGGCTTCTCTTCGTGTAGTCCAGCATCCATACATGTTCAGTCGATCAAGTGGTTGATTTTTATTTTCCTTCATTAGTACATTTGAAGATAAGGAGACAACAAAATGATGTACTCTAGCTATCAACTCTTTTCAACTCTGTGGCAATTCTAGACGCTATTACGAGACAGASATAATCACTTAAAAACAAARTCAAATATGTATATGAACTGACTGRCAACGACCGGAGGATGGCCGARCGCTTAGAATAGAATGAACGCTCTGGAATGAATAGCAAATGGAAAGAAATGAAAAACACAGATAACCGAAGAGCTGCATTCGGAATGCACATGTACATTGAAGATTAAAGCTACCAAGTTATTTGATAAAACTTGATATTATTCAACTCATGGGCAAATTGCTACACATATAGAGTTTAAGAGATATCACAAAAAATCTCCTCTAAATTTGATTTCTAAATACATTTTTATTGAATTTTAGGCGTACAAGAAGTGGCCCAGAAATGGTCCCCTGAGGAACACCATCTGTAACTGTCTGAGAAATAAGAAATGGGAAAAGAAACACGGTGACACTGAAGCAAAAGGGGAAATCCCAATAAAACAATACCCAAGTGATTCATATAAAGCATATTCTCTGCATGGATCGCTCGCACTGAACACAGGAAAACGTGTCTGTGCACCGCTATAGCACCTGGGAAAGCAACAACGTAATTAGACACGTACAATTTCTGGAAACCCTTCATTCTAGAAGCATTTCAAAAGACAAATATTTAAGGCAGGAAATGTTTCTCTCATTAGAGTCAGCTGTATAGGAACATTGACGTTAGAATCTAGGAAACAATGCAATGGTAGCATTAATTAACGATATCTTACTTTCACATTGAAATATATAGAGTTTACGAGGTTTATCATATAAAATGTAGATATATACTGGATATATATATTTATAGGTCAGTCCTTGTACCAGTATATCGAAATGTATGGTCGTATTTTGTTTGTATAACAGTGAAGTGCATGGAGGGCCCATGTTTTTCTTTTCGAATTTCTAGAATAATCATTTTATAAGAACGAGGAAGGAAGTCGCACGCTCTGATTGGTGTTTTACGATACTACGTCATCCTTTAAAAAAAAAAGGAATTTATTTATTTATTGTTAGGTTATGTACCCTCGCTCTTTGAAAGTTATTGTGGCTGTACCACACGTTTCCGAAACCTCTATACTTTAGCTCTGCATTAGGTAATTATCATCCCAGAATTCCTTGTTTTCCTACAGTGTTGCCGGGAATAACGTATTTTACTCCCAAGGGGTCTGAAATGACACAATAGCAGAAGCCCCGGGGTTCTTTGGAGGAACAAATACGTCATAATCCATATTGCCCGCCATTTTGAATCGGCTTGCAATGTATCATGGGATATTAATCTCACTGTTTTCGTCAAAACGAGTCACTAAAATCGAACTAAAATTGTAAATAATACTAAGTAATTTCAATTTTTCTACAGATAAACTATTTGTTTTCCTTTTCTCTCCATTTGCTAAGTAGGTAAACATTTTCGACTAAATGCAGGTCTTTCTTGTTGTAGCTTGCTGTGTTAAATTTGTCTTTTCTGTAGTGAGCTTCTGAGATTAACTAGAATGTCCACATTTTTCGATATATTTTCAATAACTGAGCCCTGGAGCGCTGCCATCTTCCTCAAATTTGTTTACTCTCCCAAAACGCATTGCGCTACAAGATTTCCCGCGAGTCGTAATTTCGACAGGCTTAGTTTAACAATGAGATCATATAGTGCTTTTCAAGGCATACTTATTTATAACAATTACACTTCGAAAGAATATTTTTGATGTGTCAGTCAGCTCTGTCAGTTAGCGTAGCCGATTCCGGATCCGATCGGAAAACCGAGCTCCTTCAAGCAAAATCCATATTTAAGAATTATTTTTTGCAAAAAATGTTCAAGTAAAATAAATCAAAATATTTCTTGATGATCAATAACGGTTTAATAATGCTATATAGTAATTACAAATTGAACAATTATAAGAATTTCTATGAATGCTGACATGGGAATCTGTGCTTGTATCAGTTTTTAGAATTGCTGTTCTTTGAATCCACGTGACCCAAGACATGGTCCATAATAGTCTAAAGATAAAGAATTGAAATATCACAAGTTAAATGAAGAATTATAGTTCATTGCAATTGTCTTTAGCTGTACAAAGATTGTTGCTGAAAACACAGAACCTATTATATTTGTTCAAACACGATTCATCACATAGCGTTTGCGCGGGGGACCTGTGGTTTTACACCAAAGCGAGGCAGAATCGGGCAACGACCAAAATATAATCCCTTTTGAGCTTGTTTTGAGCTTTTTTTTTTTTTGCAATGTTAATAAATAATTCTCGTTGGTCAAATAAGTGATGATTTCGTCTTTGATTAGCTTATGCTCTGCCTTATGTTACTTGCTATCCTTATATCGATGCACGCTCGACTTCATTCCTTTTTTTTTCTTTTGTTCGAGATATTTATGTCCTTGTGTGAACAGGCCCTTAGAGCTATAAGTTTCACGGATTTAGAGTGAATTCTAAAAAAAACGTGAAATAGATACTACACTAATACAATCAGTTAGCTCTAATTGTTTTCTTTTGTGTCCATCGCACTTTAATAGTCACATGTGTCTACTCTACCATAATTTTTCGATGTAAAGGCCGCTGCAAACGCTATCAACATTTGTTTCAACATGCGTTTGACTTTATTTATCGGCATGTTGAGTGTGTTTGCGCGGGACTGACAGTTATCAACTTTATTTCAAAGCCCCTCGAAAGCGCGTTCGACATTGCTGTCCAACAAAGTTTAACGAATGATGAAAATATTGTTGATAAAGTTTGCGCCTTAATCGTTAATTTCCAGTGTTTTTTACCTCTATTTCTTCAGAATCCGCGAAAACTTGACCACAGTCTGCCCAAAGGCACTTCTCTATAGTTCCAGGCTGAATGACATGGGATTCTGAAAGACAAGCACGCCTTGCTCAAACTAAAGAGGTCTTTCGAATCAGGAGTTGCACCCCAAGAGCACGACATCTCTTGGATGACACACATTATCCATTGGCCGGGGTTATTTGCGGATAATAATGTTATTATTCGTTCCACATTTAAGTTCCTAAACTAAATACGACCCATCCATCTCCAAAAGAGGAGAAAATCGCCTCGAACCAAATAGCCACAGAAAAAATGTTCACGTTTTCTCTGTTTCATGCTGTAAAACTTATATCACTGAAACGTGCTGGAAACTTGCGTTTGTGTGCGATCACAAATGATCAAATAGCAATCTATTACAATAAAGTCAATTTGCAATCCAATGTTCACAAATTCATGTCAGTAGAAATTGTTTGGGAATTTTGATTACGTGGAATTTGTTGACATAGACGCAAAGTAAAGCAAGAAATTCGGGTTTTTTTTAAAAAGTATTACGAAAAAAGTACATAAAGTGAGGTACCTTTCAAATGATCCTTCATGTGCGACGAGATACCAAAATTAAGTTGACAGTCTTTCCACTAAAACATTTGAGTGATGAATTTTCATTATAATTAAAAACAGAATGAGAATAGAAATTTGAAATATGGATTAAAGGAGGGATAGAAGGTAATAAATATATATAAAGGAGGAAAGGCAGGGATGGATGCGGGAGTGAAAACTGGGAAGTGGAAGAAAGGAAAGAATATGAATATAAATAAATGGGATGTTCATCTTTACCTTACAGGGATGATACACTCTCAAGTCTAGTTTCACACTCGTTAACTTTCCATCTCGGCCACCACTGTAGATCTGAAAACAAGAATGAATACAAACGCTATTACATTGCTTCCTTCAAGTTGAAGTCCAGTTCTAAAAGAAACAACCGATCAGCGCGAAACGAACATGCTCAACTTGCTAACATAATCCAGAACGAAAGAAATTGTCTGCTAAGAGAAGACCTACCGGTCTAGGGTAAAAACCGTCTTTTCGAAAATGAAATTGCAGTGAAATATTAGTATTCTTCTTTAACCAATTTTGAGACTAAAATTCAAACTATTTGAATTAAATATCATCGGTAGATTTTGATGCGGACTGACAAACGCATACTAACACACCCTTCCCGCAACCTGAAGTCCCTTGAGGCCTGTTGTTGATACAAGAAAGTTCAAAGTACGATTTTCAGTTTTGACCCGTTGAGCACAAATATATATGAAAGTGAACAAAACTGCCAATGATACGGTATAAAAACTTTCAAACTGCTTTTGATTTCGATTATTGGTGTGAAGTGCAATCCAACAAGCATACTTCTCTTTTCTTAGTGGTAGAACATTTCTCAATTTCAGGTTTTTCACGGCTGCAAGATTATATTTTGCGCGTCATTGCGATGGCGATAACAATATAGGCTCAATGTTAAAATCATGCAGGCGTGGTTACATAAAAAAGAAGCTAGAGACACTATTGGGTGCTTTTACGATGCCCAAAACAGATTTAAAATCATTTTTTATTCACTATGGTGGATTTAGTGCAATGTGACCTTTTCATGCAAAAGTCATATTAATCAACGTTTGCGTCTATTATAATGACTATGTATAAATAGTCATAATAGACGCAAACGTTGATTAATATGACTTTGTTTTCATTATAATGAAAACACCATTAAGATCGAAATTGTCTAGTCTTTGTAAACAACATAACACACTGAACATAACGTAACAGAGCATAACATAACATAACGTAGAATAGCATAACATAGCATAGCATAGCATAGCATAGCATAGCATAGCATAGCATAGCATAGCATAGCATAGCATAACATGGCATAGCATAGCATAGCATAGCATAGCATAGCATAGCATAGCATAACATAACATAACATAAAATAACATAGCATAACACACTTTTTAATTTAAAATTTGATAATAACAATATGTATCATAGATATTATGCGTAAAAATATTTCAAACAAAAGAGTTATAACGCAAGAAAGTCAGCTAACTAAAATACCAAGAAAAAAAAACCGATGAAGTGACATGGATAAAATCAGAAGTACTCAGTTACTTGAACATTTTACAGATCAATTTCATAACAATTTGTATTGAGTAAATAATAAACATGAAAGAACCACCGTAAAAACGCCTCACTAAATATCAATTACATAAAAAACACTTCAGCATAACCTTAAAAATAGTTTTTTTATATAAATAATTGACTGGGTTTTTACTTTCCACCAAGACGCACCAGTGATCTACGAACATGGAAAGAATTTATGGCTTCAATGCGTAAACTTCCTTTATTCATAAACATTATTTATCTTCTCGCTATTTTATTTGAATTTCATGTTCTTGTCAACACAAAAATATAAACCTTAGCGCTCCAACCCTCTCTTACCCCAAGCGGTCATCTCCTAAGGACATGTAGCCCCTGTATTGTCTTCGCGGCTCCTTCAAGCACAAGGGCTCACGAGGCTTGAGCAAGACGAGATCTTCATGAGCAAGACGCGATCTTGTTTAAATTCGTTGCTCCTTCATAATGAGTTTTTAAAAGAATTTTTTTCATTCCATCTCCGACCTTGGCCAGAAATTTACTGAAAAATTGTAAACTGCAGTAGAGAACTGGAGGATATTGTTTCAGGAACTAATGTTTTTTTGAACAACTTGTCATGCATAACATGATTATTCAAAATTCACCGTCTGACGGAGACTACACTAATACCTTTGTCGAGGAGGTAGGAAAGGTAAGAAAAAAATATCTCTTTCTGTGACCAAAACTGTACATCAGTAAGCCGTGAATTATCGATGTAAATAGCTTAACATGAAAAATAATTAGACGTTGCTTTCAGATAAAGCTTGGTTTGTTTGAAAAAAAAATATGTACAAATTTGAAAACATTTTCCGTTTTCTAAAGCACGACGTACATTTTTTTTCTCCTTTCAGAAGTTGCGTCACACATGCTTTGAATTCAGTGCAGTTAAAATGGTGAGTTAAGGGTTTTGAAACGTGACTAACATCGATTCAATTCTGTTCTTGAATTCTGAATTTCTTGTCGCATCGTAAGAAATCTGAATTTTGCTTACTGCAGCCATTCGCTCACTGCGTGCTTGCTCTGCTGCTCCAGCGGCAGCGAAGATGAAAGAAATCTGTTTACTGCAAGCTTACGGATTAAAAACTCCGTGTATTTAGTTCATCAAAGTAAGTTGAAAGACACATTCTCTTTGACGCGTCACCTAATAGGTATAGGTATTTATTTTACAAAACAAAAGAGGCAGACCTAGAGGCATCGTATCTCATGTAAACAGCTCCCCAACATAAAAAATCATCTTATTAACCGAGTTCGAGGGTAGTACAGTAGCTGACGGCCTGCGTGTCTGKTTTTTTTACTGCCATAAAAAYAGTGTAAAGAGACGACGTTCCATAACTTACCGTTCGGCCCGAGCTAGCGCGGTTGATAAAATTTTTATTATACATAGAAAGTCTAAATGTTTCCAAACAAATTCAGTGAAATTATGTTATGACTACATATATAGTTCATCCTATTGATGTTTTTCGGTTGTAAAGACGTAAAGACACAACAAATTTGAGAATGTACGACCATCAGTTCAACGAATCACGAGTCGCGTGCTATTTCAATAACGAAAAAGGATCATTATAGATTACTAAATGTTCTACATACCCTTCCATTTGACACATGGACAGAAAAAATCATATCTGATTGTCCTCCATATGCTTGAAGCAGCTCTGCGGACTAGATAAAACAACAGTACACAGAACCKGACCACCACATATWAGTAATAYTCGATTAGTTTTGCGCAAAAATCTGGTGAAAGTTYTATAAACATGTGCTTTTAGTAAAAGCGTGAAAAATCAGTATTTTGTACTATTTTATGGTAATTGTTTAGTTTTTTTGGTCAACTAGGACTATTTTGCTCAATTTAGTAATTATTGTTTCACGCTTTACTGAAAGCACTCTATTTACTTGGGGAATAAAAGCCATTGGGTGACAAGATGGCGGCCATATTTGTTGTGTAGACTTACCATAAGATCATAGCAGCGAATAAGCTTGTCTAAACAAGACGAGACCAGCACTCGTCCAACCACCTGAAGACCACTCACACTCAACGTCTGTCCACAGTAACTGCGAAGGAGTTCTCCCGTCTAATGATAAAACAACATCGTGTGTGTTATACAAAATCAGTTTTCGTGGAAAAAATGGAATTTTCATTTTTATTATTTTCATTTTCAAATAAATAGCAAATCTGTAATGTGATTGACTTTCAGTAGGTTAATTCAAGCACAAATCAAACTATTTTGGGGTCTAATTCGCATGTTTTTGTGACTCAATGTCAGAACAAAGTTCAATTACCTTAAAGTAAGATAAAGTATTTTGAATTATTTATTTTATTGAAACAAGCCTAAGGCAGTGAAAGTAGTCTTTCGGTATCATATTAGGATTAGAAACCAGTTAAGTCAAAGTAAAATATTGTCATCAATAGACCTACTCGGCTAACGCGTTGCCATGTACGTGACCACCCCAATTAAAAAAAAAAAAGAACTTTTGCTCATAAGAATTCATCTGTGAATTCAATCTTCTGTACTTGAACGA